GCGATTGGTCAAAATGACCCAGTCAGTTGTTATTGGTAAACCGTAGGCAGAGACTGTCGGCAACAGAACGCCATAACCAGGATTATAGCTTGTCAAGTGTTGAAAATTATATATAGTGTGAACAAACGTCTCCATCAAGAGCGAGCTTTCCCGGCGAAACTCACATTGCGGTGGCTTTTGAGGGGCAGTGCTTAATTATATAGAGTGAAGTCATATTTGGCTAAGTCATTTAGGAGGTAATTGCCATTTTTCAATGAATGTCTGGTGAATATCAAAAACAAAACTAACTTTACCCCACTTAGAAGCTGCGCGGAGTGTACACAACACACACAACACAATATAACTATAGTGTGGTGCATGCTACAGAAAACATAATAGCAAACATTATTAATATTACTTACAGATTGTGATTCGGAGGAGGACGAACCTGATCCATATACACTGGATTGCAAATATTACTCATTGCAAATATGAACTCTGACCACTGTTTTTTCACATGCTCGTCCCTGGACAATGGAAACAAGTGGCTGAACTGTCTTTGCAATGTAGAACACAGCGTCTACTCGACATGATGCGACTCAGCTGGAGTATTTGAATGTGTTCTAGACGTCACTTCTGCGCCTCAGTTGTTGTTGGAGCGGCCAATGACCTCTCTACGTCACGATGTAACAGCTAATGACTCGTTTCAAAAACAATTCATTCATAGACTCGGAGTCGGCTCTCACTTTTGAAAGACAATAACTTTATATACGGTGCACTTTCAGATCTAAATCTTTGCAGGATGTTTTCAGTCCCTTAGAGCTATAGTCCACACTACATGAACAGTCATTTTCAAAAATCCATGATAGGTGCTCTTTAAAACCATGGAGTCACCAGCGTCAGTAGAAACTAAAATGTCATTTAGCACTCTCAGCAAAGCAGATTCTGTACTGTGTAAAGACAAAACCAGACTGAAGTTCATAAAACAATTTTGTTTATAAAATGGACATGTTTCACAATCCTTCATTGTGACACAGTATCTTCGTTTTGATCACTATACTGTACTTACAATTTTGTCTTTATTTTACATAAATGCCATTTAACCCTAACCCTAATGCATTGAGATTCAGATAATTTGAAACTTGACTGTTTAAAGCACTACGGTTATTGCTGAGCAAGGAATCAGCACCTGTTTTGGGTTCCACTGAGAAGTAGGGCTCCCCCTGCAGGATTGAATAGATGAGTTTAGCATTGTTCCCAAACAAAGGGTCATCTGCATCTGTGGCTGTTACCTGGATAACTGTGGTCCCTGTAGAGAAGAGAGAAGGGTGAATGAGTAAATAGTGGTTCATTCACAAATATCATTGTGTAACTGTCCATTGAATCTGCCATTGCGTGTCTGTCTCTCATTCCCAAGATTTTTTTTTTCAGTGGGTTGTTGTCACTGTCATCTTTGGCTTGCTTAAGTCGGGTTATGCACTGTGCGATTTCAGCATGGTAACCTACTGACACTGTACGAGTAAATTGCATGTGATGTAAAGCCAAAGCTTGGGATTTACAGTGGAGAAAATATCTATTTGATCCCCTGATGATTTTGTAAGTTTGCCCACTTACAAAGAAATGAAGGGTCTTTTCTTTTATGGTAGGTTTATTTGAATGGATAGAGACAGAATATCAACCAAAAACAAAACAAACAAAAAAAAAACAAGAAAGAAAAACATATAAAGGTTATGAATTGATTAGCATTTGATTGAGTGAAATAAGTATTTGATTCCCAATCAACCAGCAAGAATCCTGGCTCCCAAAGATTGGTAATGTGCCCATGTGAAACACAGATTAGTCCTGTCACTTTAATAAAGTTTTCCTAATGTCAGCTTGTTACGTGTATAAAATACTATTTTAACATTTATTTACATTTATTCATTTAGCTGACGCTTTTATCCAAAGCGACTTACAATTGCTATATATGTCAAAGGTCGCACGCCTCTGGAGCAACTCGAGGTTAAGTGTCTTGCTCAGGGACACATTGGTGTCTCACAGTGGATTTGAACCTGGGTCTCTCACACCAAAGGCATGTGTCTTATCCACTGCACCATCACCACCTTCCATTCCATCCTCTCCACCACCATGGCCAATACCAAAGGGCTGTGGATGGACATCGGGGACAAGATTGCAAACCTGCACAAGGCTGGAATGGGCTACAAGACCATCAGCAAGAAGCTTGGTGAGAAGACAACTGTTGGTGCCATTATTCAGAAATGGAAGAAATACAAGATAACCATCCATCGCCCTCGGCCTGTAGCTCCATGCAAGATCTGGGCTCATGGGGTACAGATGATCATGAGAATGAGATAAAGATGATCACAGGGATCAGCCCAGAACTACACGGGAGAAGCTTGTTCATGATCTTAAGGCAGTTGGGACCACAGTCACCAAGCAAACCATTGGGTAACACACTACACTGCAACGGATTGAAATCCTGCAGCGCCTGTAAGGTCCTCCTGCTCAAGAAGGCACATGTACAGGCCCTTCTGAAGTTTGCCAATGAACATCTAAATGATTCAGAGAAGGCTTGGGAGAAAGTGCGGTGGCCAGATGAGACCAAAATTTAGCTCTTTGTCTTCAACTCAGCTTGTCGTGTTTGGAAGAAGTGAAATGCAGACTATGACCCCAAGAACACCATCCCTACAGTCAAGCATGTTTCTCTATTGTAAAATCTCGGACGAGACCCTCTTTCCCTCAACCAGAACACTGAAGATGGGTCGTGGATGGGTCTTCCAGCATGATAATGACCCAAAACATACTGCCCGTAACGGACGACAGTAACGGGATGTAAATGCAATAATACTCTTTATTAAAGTCCACAGACAAGGAGGTCAGAAGGCACAAAACACAGATGACAGCCAACACAGTAAAGAGTCGGGCGGACACCAACGCAAGATGGATGGTGATGCAGAGACCTCAGTGGACGGCTGGTGCTCTGATCCCGTGAATGTCCCTCGAGATGGTGCTCGGTGATCCAGCGAGGGTGCGTAAAATCCTGAGATTATTAATGACCACAGAGGGTCAGGACCTCGGTTTAACGTCTGATCCGAATGACGGGTATTGTTACTCATTTGTTCCTGTGTAGTTATTCATTAATGACAGAACAGTATTCTAAAGTGTCACCTCAAACTGTGTATGAACATAAACTTTTTTAGCACTCATAAAATCATTTATTAACATAGACCATGCATAATATTTTAAGTTTTCTTTATTTGTCATGAACATATGAAACAGTGGGTCAACGCACCTGTGGGACACATCTCTGGGATGCTGGATATGTAAGGCTCATTGATAAATTCTGGAGCATTGTCATTGATGTCCTGGACTTTAATAATAAACTCAGATTCAGGTTCAACAGGCTGTTTGGATCTGCGGTTGATGGCCTGGGCTTGCAGTAAGTAGAAGGACTTCAGCTCGCGATCCAGACACTGTAATGAGTGAAGGTCACCTGTGTACTCATCAATGATGAATATCTCACCAGCTCCTTCACCTGATAAGATGTACTTGATAGAAAAGTCGCCTGTGTCGTAATCTGATTTCAGCTGAAGGAAAATAAAGAGGATGTAAAAGAGATTTTGCAAGACATAACAACTATATATATATATCTATATATATATATATATCTAATTATAATTAATAAAAGTAGAAAAAAGACACCCTTGAGTCCTCACATTGACTATACACCGTCTGTCACGGTTTGGTGGCTGTAGTGAAGCGCATGATTTGGAAGTAACAAAATAGCATTTAATTGCAAATTTAAAACTAAAGAAACATGCAGGAGATCACTTGGAGATCACTTGGAGACATATAGTAACCACTACAACATCAATTTTAAATAACACAGGACAAGTAACAGACTGAAACTGAGGACTTAAATACATGAGGGCAAATAAAGGAGCTGGTGAGTTAACACGACACACATGAACAGAATACTCAAATCAATCAGAAACCGTGGAAACCAACAGGCAGGGGATGAGCAAGACCGAACTAACGGCAAACTCTCCAACAGAAAAGGAAAGCCTGAAAACAGACTCGGACTCTGACACCAGCTGAGCTGAGTAAGTACTGTATTGCTATTGGAGACTAAAATGTGAATATATTTAAATGAGCGTTAATACGGTTTAATGTTGTATTGTTTACTATTCAAAAGTACATGTAATTGGGTATGTAAGACATTGCTTACAATTTTACTGAAATAATTAACAACATTTTCTGAACTCACACTTTAATAATAATATTATACTTTAATAATATTTAATAATATTTTTTTTATTCTTCAATATTTTTTTATTGCAACTTAATATTGTAATGTTAGGTTTTAGGGGTTATTATTATTATTTTTGTTGGTAAATAAAATGGCTGTCACTGTAAGACTATCACAGAATTGGTTCATGAGCTCCCCATCCTTGTCTTTAAGCAATGTGACCTTTTCCCACATTTCTTTAGTTTAGAGGTGTCAAAGCCCATTGTGAACTCCAGTTATACCTGACCAATCTTCCTTGGTGTTGGATCTTCTTCTTCAACAAATATTTGGCTCCAAATCCAGCCACGTTTCACTCTCAGATGTGACCCACGAGAGGCTTTACTCGAACGGGTCTCTTGCTGTTTTCTTGAGATAAAAGTGTCACCCCCAAGCCAGCCAGGCACGATGAAGATCATGAGGAGCACATGAAGAACAGAACAGTTGTCCATTGTTGAGAAGTTTTTTGAATCAGTGTTTCATTGAGTGTTAGGGCTGGATGTCAGGGTGATAATGCCGACGGGGGAGACAGACTCAAACAGGGTATGAGGCAAAACTCCATTAGAAGGAAATGATGACTTTTCTGTTATTGAGAAAGAAGAAAGAGATTCTTAGAATGATTTATAGGGTTGAGGTGAAGGTGAACAGAATTCTTCAATAGACTGAAGTGTTGGAGTCTAGCTGGAGCACAAAAAAACCCATTAGAGTGAGACTACTGGGTAATGATCAGGCTAGGTGTAATCTGCAAGGGTTTTATCATTTTAGGAAATAAACAATAACAACAACAAACATATCATATATTTAACCATGTTTAACCGTGGACTTGGTGTTGTTGTAGTATGCACTCCTAGCCGCCTGAAGTGCATACTACATTGAATTTCACACACTTTTGCGTCTCCATTTGCACGCGGATTTCCCACCCAAAACGCTCGTCTAAACGCAGAATAAAAAAAGATGACGCAACACCACTTTTGCGTGTTCTCTTCAGAATCGTTTCCGTGTAAACATAGCTTTAGATACACAGTGAAGATGATTTCAAAATGACAAGCAGCTGTGAGGGAGGTGATCAGTGTCCGCGGATACAGATTGATGACGGGGAACACGCGTGCTAAATCCAAACAAACAGAAAGTCCAAAGAAGCCTAGTGGTGACAATGTGGAGTTTTAGTTTGTCTCTTCTGATCTGTGTTTCTCCTCGTTAGTCTTGATTGTTCCCAGCTGTGATTAGTCATTATTATCAGCCCTTGTGTGTCCTGTAATCATTGTTCTGTGTTGTTCTTTAATGGCTGTCATGTATTTGAGCACAGTTTTGTCTCCTTGGTTGTGTGATCTATTTTATTATAGGTGACATATTATGCCCCTTTTCACCAGTTGTAATATAAATCTGTGGTGTCCCCAGAATGTGTGTGTGAAGTTTCAGCTCAAAATACCCCCCAGATCATTTATTATAGCTCTTCAAATTTGCCCCTTTTTGGTTGTGAGCAAAAACCCGCTGTTTTTGGGTGTGTCCCTTTAAATGCAAATGAGCTGCTGCTCCGCCTCTGCTGAAAAGAGACCGAAGCCTTTACACAAGCTTCAGATACTCCGGCAATAACAATACAGGCCAATCTCACTGACGTCTTCAACGCCTACAAATGTTGGTGGATACGTTTCTGGTATGTTTCCCGTAGTCCTCCAATCGGAGTGTGCTTCTGAAAAAAATCTGTTTCGAGGGCTATGTAGCCCTACCCTCTATCACAACAAGAATCGGGACTCTAGACGTGAACGCGCCAAATGGAGGGTTAGGGCAAGGCTTTGTCTGTTTGTCTTGCATCATCAACACAGAACTAACGTTGGATTCAGTTTGATTTTGTGAATCGTTTCGACCGGTTGCTTCCTATGAAACAGTTTACATTTACAGTTTGTATATATGTATCACGAATCTGTTCCATACTCTTCCGGTCAATCACCACCAGAGGTCACCCACTCACAGCACTTCCCCATCATGCATTGCATTGACGACTCACACAGCAGATTTTACTAATCACACTCACACCTGAGAACCATCACACTCTATCTCACACTCTTTATAAGTCTTGGACGTTCTCTCCCTGATGCTGAGTGTTGTTTCGCTTTAGTGTTAGCTTCTCTACCGAGCACATCCATTGATCGTAGTCTTGCCTTGTCCTTGATTCTTGCCTGTTTCCTGGATTCACCCTTAGCCTAGACGTTTGGACTCTGTTTGTACCTCATTTGGATCATTGCTGTTTCCCTGGATTCCCTCTCTTTGCCTTGCCCCTGTTGGATGTTGTTCGCCGATCATCTACCCACGCTTGCCCTAAGGATCACTCTGTGCCATGCCTCTGCCATACCTGTTTGCTGCTCATTGACCATGCCTCTATTAAGACCATGTTTTGGAATAAAGCTTTGCATATGGATCCGCACGTCTCTCGTCTTGTTCGTCCCGTTACAATATGCTTGGCTGTACAATTTGGATGTATTGACAGTATCTGGCAGGTAAAATATTTACTTGAACACAGCTTCTGAAACTTAATATGATTCCCTTATATTTATATTATAAATATAGTTTGCTTCATAATAAATTAATTTTTCAACAGTCTTAAATTGAGCTGAATAATGACTCTTTTTGAAACTTATTCACAGATGAAATTGTATGTGTTTCATAATTGAAGAACTATGCACAGTTAATACTGTTATTTAATCTTGTTAATTTCCTTAAAGTTGCTTTAAAATGATGATTTGTAAAAGTGCTTTCACCCCTTCATTGGAGGTCTACGGGAATTTGAGCCTGTTGGTAAACCCAGGATTGGAATTCTGAAAGTCGAATCAATTAGACAAGATAAAGTATACTTGGTGTAATCATAAATACACTTTTAGTGTAGTGTTAGTGGGATTGTATTTTCAACCAAACCAATTGCAGTGACATGTTATTTTTGTATTCTATTTTGTATGTTTTAAATAAATTATTGTGACTATCATTTACCTGTCTGTTACCTGTGTTTGTCTGTTGTTGTTGTTGTTGTTTTAATTGTCAAAAAATGGGTTATGTTTAGGGGTGTCTGCCTGTAAACCGGACTGAAAAATAAATTCAACGTTTTTCACTTAAATAGTATCAAAATTCATTTCAAACTCAAATTCAACAGTGTTGAAATTAAGATAATGACAAATACAAATGTCTTCATTTTGCTGAATGAGATTGAACAAGAGACACAGTAAAATGACTTGATGTACCCATCACTGTTACGCAGAATATTAGGGACAACAAATAGTTCATTGTACATGAATGAAGATGAAAATATTCTGAACACAGTTCATTCAGTATGACAAGAGTTTTCCATCTTGTGAAAGTCTTTTAATTTAGTTCTGATATCACAGAGCAGGAATGCATGTGTGTTGCAATTTTAAATTTCTCATTATAGTTTATGATTCACTTTAAACCAAACCTGGGGGGGGGGGACGTTTTTTTTTTTTTTTTTGTGATTGTTGCAGGCAAAAATCCTTGATTATGCAGCATGTTTTCTTAATAAATGCAATGGAATATGCGATGAAATTGCAGGAACTTGCAAAAACTGGTTTGATGAAAAAGAGAGAAAAGGTGATTCCCCAACCCCCTGTTCTCACGAGGCTATTACCTTAATGTAAAGAGTAATTTCTTATTACTTCCTATGATAAGCAAACATACTACATCCATAGAAAGTGCTGGAATACTTCATCTTGTTGTATTTCAGACCTTAATAAACACATGGCTCAAAATTACAAAACATTGATGAGTCAAACAAAAGGAGTTTATATTTTCTTATTCATTTTTACAGAAGTTGTAGCTTTACAAAAGGAATGTGCTACAACTTCTGTAAAAATGAATAAGAAAATATACAAAAATGTTTTCTGTTTTACAGCTTTTCGTTGTTCACGTCGCGTAATTACATCACTGCATGACGTTCTCATGGCAACAGGGGGAAATGGCTGCTCTTGTGTGAAGTAAACGCAACATTTTTCAACTTTCTGCTGAGATATATGGGACTTTTTTTTCAATGAAAATGCGGGGATTATGAAGTCATACAAGCCCTGCATATTTTGCACGGAAATCGACAATCTATGCGGCAAAAGTGTGGCATATTTGACAAAATGCCCCGGCATAAATATGCAGACTTTGGCTGATTATGCACTGAATCATGCGATCGCATAATCGCATTTTTCTGGAGGGACTAAAAGGTGATGTTCATAATAATAAATTATTTTTCAAGAATTTCAATTGGCATATTACAGGAGGCCTTGTGGCAACTTTCGGAACATGCCATGATAGCTTACAGCAACCTATTTTTGTGAAATCATACTCGAAATAATAATAATAAAAAAAAAATACTGCAGGACTTGGGACTTTCACACTACTGTGGACATCTATATTTTATTTTTATGAAATAAAGATATTTTATGATATTTACAATATTTCAGTTAAACTACACTTGAACAATAAGTTATCTTACTTCTTAACAGTTGGACCAAAAAAAAGTGTTCAACGAGTATACAGATTACAGTAATTTTATAAACAGACATTTTATAAAAATATATCAATAAAACCTAAATCAATGTATTCGGTATTGGAGATCAATTTAACATTGACATCAGATTGGTCACCCGACGTCGCAACCGATATTTAACCGGATATCAATGTCTTATGACATTGTGTGCCTGCTGGGAATAATCTGTTAGGGTTAGGGTTCTCATTTAACACATGCTTTTATCCAAAGCAACAAGTAGGAGAGCATTTAACACACTCGGCACAACCTGGCGTGACGTGACAAGGTCCATATTGATTACATGTCTTACTGCGTAAGGTTAAAACTTAACAAGGAAACTTTACGTGTGATTCATGTCATGTGACATACTGTAACACATCATACTTACAGTGTGTGTTTGAAAAAAAATGATGTAATCGTCCGCTGCTTTTTTTCTGGGGTGCATTAGACGGTCAAACAGCAAAGCGACTAAACGAACACGAAAATTCGCAAGAGCAACAAGGGATTTGAAGCCTATGGCAGACGCGCCCAATAGATGATTCGCGCTGTGATTGGCTGAATGTTTGTTCACTCAAGTCTAAATAAAAGAGAACACGGGCGGAAATAGTGGCACTGGGTCAAAAAAAAAAAAATGCAGGGGACAGAATCACCTGTTTCTAAAAGTGCGGGTGACGTGTCCCCCCCCGTCACGCCCCCTGTGTCAGAACGGGGTTAAGGCAAAGATGAAAAAGAACTGGAAGCTGGATCTAGACACAGTAGTATTTCAAACAAAATCAAAATTTTACCAACTCAAATTAGATTAGATGTTACACCACAGCAGGGGATGTATAACTTTGAGCAATTGGAGTCCTTTTGTTGTCTTTTGAGTGGCATTGTACCTTGATCCTTATCATGAACCTAATCAACCTAATGTAGCAGAGAATTTAAAATGTAATGTTTCAAGGTATTTCTGCTCGGATATGGTTTCATAAATTGTGCTACTTCTGCTATTTCAAGTAATATATATGAAGAGTTCAGATGCAAAAGCCTCTAAATGCTATTGGAAATTTTCTTCTTTAATGATGATTTTTATCAAACTTGTATATTTAAGTTCAGTAATTTCACTTAAATGGCAATGATAATTACCTATTAATTGTTATTTAAGTGAAATTACTCAACTTAAATATACAAGTTTGATAAAAATCATCATTAAAGATGAAAATTTCAAATGGCATTTAGAGGCTTTTGCATCTGAACTCTTCATATATATATATATATATATATATATATATATATATATATATATGCACACACACAATTTAAGTGATTTACACCCTTAATTTACACCAGAATAAGCCAATAATTGTGGCTAAACTGTCACTTATACAATACTACACTGTAAAAAATATTTTCAAGATTTGTTATCACAACATATTTTCTTTTGTCAAATAAACTTTATAATAATTTATTTAGTTGAGATAACTTATTATTTTGAGTTTCTGATGGTTAAATTAATCTCCTTCATTGTATTAACTCACTTTTTCCAGTTCAATGAACTTAAAATTTTAAGGCAACCAGGTTACTTACTTTTTTAAGTTAAACCATCAATATTTTTTTTACAGTGTAATAAAAAAAAATTCATGTGGATTCTTCAGTGGCTAATATGCCCTTACTATATGTTTAGTTAATCATTAATCACTAGTGTGTTGGTGCTTAACTAATATATAATTATGAACAAGTTAAACACTAATTACTACTGCATTTATGCTTAAAGGGTAACTCTTGCCAACATTGAACCTAGGCTCTATTTGTTAATTTACCCAAGTCAAACTTTTGTGTAAAAGCATAATTAGAATGGAAACGTACTTTTAAGATTGACCGTATTTTTAGGTTTAGAATAAAATTTTTAGGTTTAGAACAGTTTAGAATTAAAAAAATAAATAAATAAAATACATAAAAGGATACTGGCAGTATAACAGTGCCAGCTTTTTGATCTTCAGCAAACGTTCTATGTGACTGTGTGTCTTATTTGTTGTTGTTTGTACTGTTATATATATATATATATATATAAAACAGTACAATATACGTATATATATATATATATATATATATAACAGTACAATATATATTACGAAGGTAGCGAGAAAACAATTCAGAAAGTGAGCGTCCCCTTGTCTATGCTTTTTGAGCGAGGGTAACACACTCGCTCTGTGTTGTTTGTTTGGGAATGACCGAAAGAGCACGTACGTCTATACCCAGCAAAGAAGAGAACACAACACGTGAATATGGACGTCAGACAGAAACTAGTGCTGCACACCGTTTGTGCGATGATCTGCTCTGAGAAAAAAATGCAAAAAAATAAAAATTAAGATTTACATGGTGTCCTCAACCCATGCGTTGCTATGATTGGCTGTACTCATGACATGACTGAGGTTGAGTCGCGTGACGGCTCTGGATATCTAGCAGGCTAGATATTTTTCTGGGCTCGGTGACACGTCTGCGAGGCGTCTGCGAGCGTTTTCACTGCGTTGTTGGCTCTTTCATACTAACAGATTGGCAAGCGTTCATCGTCCGCTAACCCCCCGCGATTTGCACGCGATAACACCCTGACAAATCGGGCATAAATCGGGCTTAAAATCCTGTAGTGTGAACTTGGCTTTAGGGAACGAGGGTTACAGTCGTAACCCGAGACGTTTTACACTAACTAACAATGTATAACTAGAAACAACACTAATCAAACGTTGTTCAGTCTTGCACTGTTCTTCATATTGTTCAGTTAACTTAATAGATGGTGAATCACTGAAATATAACCAAGTACATTACTACACAAAAATACTACATGGTTTGCTATGTTGAAAATAATGGCTAAGAAACATTTACTGCTTATTCAGTTAATTATTAATTTCTAGCTTATTTTTACTTATATCGCATGAATGTGGAAAAAAATAGTATAGTATATTTTACCATATTATTTATACTGTACATATTCACAAACATGTATTATATGCAACTTCATGTATTGAATGTGAAAGGGTGTGTTTAACATAGAGTATCATTTTGTGTTTAGTATTTTAAATATGTATTTATTACAGCACACAACTATTGTGGTAAAGCTTTTTTGAAAAGACAGCGAAGATGTGACTTTGTCCCATGCTACAGTCAAATCTTTAGCACACTTTAATTGGTCATTAGGGGAATCATGTTGTGATGTGTTGTTTACCGTCATGCATGATGGGTAATGACATGCTGGGTTCAAATGTAACTATGGAAAAACTAAACATCACATAAAAAAGACATTTTACATGTGTGAAAACTTTGTTGAAAAATCAAAAGTTAAAATGTTGTGTATGTGTGCTAATTAACATATGGAATAATTGTTTTTTTTTAAGTTTAGACTGACATTAAATATTTCGAAAATGTTTATTTACTTAACTATCATTGATAAGCTGACTATATATATATATACACTGTAAATATGATTAAATCTGTTATTGAGGTTAGTGACATATGGTCAGTCCAAATATTTGTCAGGATGTAATGTTGATGTTTTGCTGCAAACCAAAGACATATGCAAAATAGTATTTTTCGTTTTGGATACTCATTTTAAAGTCCCTGCAAATGTTCATGAAAAATGATCAGATTTAGTAAGTTAAAACAGCTCACCTGTGTCTCTGAACAATATTAGCAATTCCCTCAAAATCACCATCAAGCTTTCCTCAGTAGTTCATTACCACAATTTTAATGTGTTAACTGGTCACAGACGGCAGTGCTAACGCTCACATCTCTCAAAATGGTTCGTCCCTTCTATGACCACCTCCTATTCCTCCCCCATTTGTCTTTTTTTCCTCATACATTCTGGAGGAGAGCAAACAGTGTCTGTATTGTCCGAGCACAGTGACACACACACATCATTCTTCTTCAAGCAAACAGCAGTGGCTACAAATCTCAAACCTCAGACTCCAACAATACAGCATTTATTAGCTTTATCTCGCTGCAGGCCTGCACTGCATTCGACTGAGTGTCAACTGTTCCCTGGACGGACAGGAAGAATGTTTCTGACATTTAAAGTCCCAATGAGCCCCATCTTCCTAATTAACACACAGGCATTATGACAAACACAGCAGTCCACAAAATGGATAAAAAGGGCTTGGTAAAAAGTTATGTTTGTTCTTTTACATTGTCATGTTAAGTACAGACCAGTGGCCCCAAAACAGGGTATGCAGTATATGAAGTGCATAGGGGCGCCACACGAGAAAATCTCCTTCAATAGAACTTTTGATATAATCAGAAATAATTAAAATAAAAGTTATTTGTTCAATTTTTTGAAAGGAAACGTTTTATATCACTTTTATTTAGCAATTTAACTGACTTAAAAGTGTATGTATTATATAAATATCAACTCCTCACCCTCTGACATTAAGTCTATGAATAAAATGTATAGTGGAAGCATTGTGGGGTGCAGAACTGAAAAGGAAAAGGGGAAAGGATAATGTTACATCTGATCTCTAACCAGCAGAGGGAGCCCTGACTTGAATACTGGCCACACTCCATAGGTGTTTCTCAATGTCAAGGATACTTCCTTGGCAGGACGGGTCCTTCCAAGTCATTTCCTTCAGAGGCTAGGCAAGGGTCCTCTTTAGCGTTCGGAGAACATGTAAATGGAACAGGCTAGCAAGTGCACGTCATTGCGTCATTACACCAGTGAAAGGTCCGCTTCGGTGCTGCAAAAATCATTGTGCTGGTGTACTGCACTGTTTAAATACACTTGACAGTCCTTATTTTGTCTTGTCAGTCCTCATAGAAATAAATAAATAAAGGGATAATGTATAACCAGGCGGTTGTTATAGTGAATACAACCCCGCAAACTCTAAAGCAGAGGGGTCTTGATCAGCCGGTTGTATTCGCTGTAACAACCGCCTCGCTATACATTTTCCCACTTATAACATGGCTACCTACCAAATAAATCAATAATTTGACACAAAATATTGATTTAAAAAGGAGTTTATTCATTCAAAAACGATTTTACCGGAGTTAACAGAACTACCTCCATATAGCAACATGATCTAGCTGTTAAAACACATGCAATTGTAAAATATGTGACCAACAAAAAAGGCTATGAGTAAAAATTAAAAAGTTAATCACCAGTAAAAGGGAACAGCTTTAAATCCCCTCAGCAAATTTGAGCCGATATGTTAAATAGTTTAACAAACATTAAATAAATGGCTAAACTGAAATTATACTTGCTTACATTTGAAAGCATATTGCCGTTATCACTCCGACTCCGCTAACGGTCGACATTTTTTATTTTTTGAACAAGATAGCAAAGCTGCGCATAGGATTGTGGGTGATTTAAGAGCGCGAAGGCTACACATATGCATCCTTTCCTGTGTATGGGATATTTTCCGAACGAAGGACTCAGTCCTTGGTTGAAATTCTGAGGATCCTCGACATTGGAACAGTCCTTCGACGGACGTCGATGACGTAGCATCCTCGAAATTCCGGCTTCCGAGGATCCTTCCTTGACATTGAGAAACGCCTCATTTCTTCCACAGTTACTTCCTGTTTGTTAGATGATAAGAGCCATGCTTTCCACTAAGGCTTTGAAAAATATTGCCATTTTTTCTTTCATTTTATTCATATTCTATTTTTGCAAGTGAAACTAAAGTCATCTTTATTCATCTTTCTTGAAAATATTTAAAAGCAGAATGTGGTAATATCATCAGGGCCGCAGATGAAATACCATCCACATCATCAAGCACTCAAACAGAAGCACCATCATCTACCCAACAGCCCACACCAAGCTCAAGTATTTATTTATTATTATTTTTATATACTTATTGTATTTTATAATTGTTCACCATTGATGTGTCTTATATTCAGTCAATACATGTACAGTCAATGAAAATAATGAAGCCAATAAAAATAATAATAATTATTTTCCTCACACTTCTAAGGTGGAAACCTTTGGCTTCTGTTGGACAGTGCTGTGGAGCAAAGCTCAAATGCCACGTCTGATGCAATCGTAGAAGTGGATAAATACCTTACAGAGAGAAACATACAAAGAGCTGAAGATCCACTTGAATATTGGAGACTGCAGAAACATGTCTACCCCCACCTACATACATTGGCATTACAGTTTCTTTGTACCCCAGCCTCCTCTGTATTATGTGAAAGAGTGTTCTCTAAGGCTGGGGAAGTACTGTGTAAGAGGAGAAATAGACTCAGCCCCAACACTGTGAAACAGCTTTTATTTCTAAATAAAAATAATTAAAAACTGTACAACCTTTCTGTCATTCCTACAGTTACATAAGCACTATCACAGCCAAGTGTCAAGCATTTAAAAACATATGATCCTATCAGACAATGTTCTTATTCATTATGTGTGTGTGTGTGTGTGTAAGGGAGAGAGATAGAGTAGGCCTACATTAAATCTTATTGAATCATCAAGCTTATATTATATTTTATTGTCACACTTTAATGGAAAAATTAATTTATTAAATGAACAAATCAAACACAAACATGTAAGGTTTTTATTTGTACACATAACATTGAAACTCTGTAGTGTGTTGTGGTTGCTTCATCTGCCAGAGCCTCTGGCTGCTTTATTTTAAATAAGCACCAGATGGCGCTGTTCGACACTCTCGAAGCTTTGAATCTTTTCCCAGAACAGTCAAGGGAATGCCTCATTGCTTCATGAAGCTTCATTTCCCCATCCCTAATACGCGCATCGAGGCTTCAGTGTCATACGTAACATATAGTTTAAATGTAGTGATCGTAATCCAAGGCTTTCTGAAGCATTTTTAGGCTTTCATCAAATTGTGCCACTCCTTGATCCCAGTTTCATCGTCTTCATTAACACAACACAGCTGAACCTCATGAACTAGTCAGGTCTCCATTCAGTTACTATGGTTACTGTCGTTGGGTTAATTTACCCCAGCTGTGTCTTGTTTCCCTGATCTGTTATCTGTGTATTTAAGCCCTCTGTTTCTCCCTGCTCAGCTTGCATTACTTTAAGTTGTAGTTGATGTGTGGTTCTCCTTGTGGATTCTTCTGTTCACTGGTCTATTAATGTCTCCTGAAGTTATCTCCTTTGTTGTGTGTTTTAATACAGCCACCATTTTGTACCTGACATTTATGAGCACATTTCTAAAGCAGAAATACGTGTTTGCTATGCCTCCTTTCATCATAGAATTGGGATGCTTGTATTGTGAGTATTTCTATTTATTTATATGAAACTCATTTTTGTGTACTGCTCTTATAAACATCCCAAATAGATTTTGGAGATTGAGATTTGATGTTTGATGGGTATTTTACAGTCTCTTTTATCTGCTGGACTTTGTCAGTGTTTTGCTGGTCTTTAAGAGTTTTTGTATATTTCACTTTATTCGCTTTCACACATATTTTTGGATTTATTATTATTATTGTGGTTTCTTTAATTTGGTATATCTTGTTAACTGTTCTGTTTCCTCTGTAGATATAAATGAGTATGATGTGAACTCTATCACTGAGATCGGATCGTTCATGTAGTTATTTTATGTCCAACGATCCATCTACAACCTGTCCTGTGTTTCTTAAACACTCATATTCCAAATATGGCCTCTGTTACTCTAATGAATTAACTTAATTTGATGATTTTGCTCCAGTGAGCTCTTGATTGGAATGAGTACTGGGTGTGTGTGTGATCTGTCTGATTTGTGTTTTTGCAGGAGCTGTTTAGAGGCACCTGAGTGAGTCAGATTTCAGATACTGAGGGTCGTCCTGCATGTAGTGACCGGTAAAGTTCAGGTGAGATCCATTCATGAATGTGCACCCTAAAACTCAAAGAATGACATGTTCACTGACCGCTTGTTAATGTTGATTTGTTAACATGCCTATTTTGCCAACATAATCAATTTATACTTTGCAGTTTGTGGTTTAAATGCTTGTCTGTTATGAGTGTTTCTCAGGATCTCCACATGCTCTTGAGTATTAACAGATCCTCTGCATATCTTCTGAAGTCCTCCTTGTGTGGAGACAACAAGTAAATTATTATTTTTCCAGGTGCTTTTCTCTGCACTTCATGTTCTCTTAAACCTTTCGTTTTGCACCTCACACTGTTTTAACCCTAATATTATGCAAACAAACTTTTATTTTGAGGCTTTGCCTCTAAGGCTATCTTTTGCCATCCTAATACATGAGAATCATCCCATCTATACGCTTATATAAAAGTCTTTCTGGAATTTTCCTGGGCTTTTGCTGCCATAGATTAGCCTCTTTGGTATAGACTTATTAGTCTTTCATTCACTCTTTAACTTATTTTTTTTATGTGTACATCTAACCCTTTCTGGGTTTTTTCTTTAATAAATATTTTCTAGATTTTTTTTTTTGACAGTTTCACTAGTCTTCTATTTGATTTTTATCTTTTTTTCTTTCTTTTTTTCAAAAAAATAAAATAAATTTCGAATCCTTAAGCATATCCACGCACACGCTATTTAGCAGGCGCTTAACTGTTCAATTACTGGCCAGAATTAAACAGTTAAAGCCCCAATCTTTAATCTTATCTCCTTTAACCTCATTTATTATCCTCAGGTTAGGTCGAGTAAGTCAAATCTGCTCTAAATCATAAGCATTCGAATGGTATTTACAATTTGTTCAGATGACTTCTCTGTGGTCAGTTCTTGGTTTATTAACAACACCGCTAGACAATTACTTGTAATTAGCATTAGTTATTTATTAGTGTATATATTCCAGAAATAAAAGTTAGGCTCAAACTTAAATTCTTTACGCTCAAACTCTGGAATAGCCTTCCCGATATGGTTCGACGCTCTGACTCGCTGTCACAGTTTAGAACTAGACTAAAGACGCATCTCTTTAGCCAATCATTCACATACTGCTTACCTTTTATTCCTCTGGTGAATCTGAATGCATTTAATACTATAAAACTTGATTACTCTGTAGGTTACTTGTATTCGTTGCGTAGTTTTTACAGTCATTACTTTTCCTGTGTGTATTGTGTGAATGATGGGTGGTTGGGCAGATATTGTGTTTTTGCGTTAGGTGGTATGCCATACGGAACCATTGCCAATGAAACGCATTATCTCGACAGTGAGGCTCGACAGCCTTAGTCAAACGGGTTGGTGCGTATGGTTGGGTTGCGGAGAGTTTGTGAGA